GCTTTCTACTCCCGTAAAGATTTACACCCTCGGAAACCCTGTACAGGGTCGCTATGGGTCGGAACCGACTCGATGGCACTTAACAACAATAACAACATAATGACGCCAATAGAGTATAACTTTCATTTGCTGATGGGGCACACCTCAAAATGATGCAAAACAGCTGTAAATACTCATTAATAATCAGAACATGGAATGCACAAAGTACTAATCTAGAAAAATTGGAATTTGTCAAAAATGAAATGGAACACATTAAGATCGATATCTTAGGCATTGTTGTTGTTGTTAAGTGCTGTTGAATCATTTCTGACACATAACAACTCTGTATACAGTTTGCAAGGAGTGGCTGGTGAGTTTGAACTGCCGACCCTGTGGTCCAGTGTTTATCCTACAGCACCACACCAGGCATTAATGACCTGAAATGTGCTGATATTATCCACTTCATCTGACTACCATATAGTTTAAATATGCTGGAAATAACAAATTCAAGAGGAATGTCATACCATTCATCATCAAAAAAGACATTTCAAGATCTATCTTGAAGTACATTGCTGTCTGTGATAGGATATCACACCTACAAGATGTGCTACTCTAGAGAAACACTGGACTGCTAATCACAAGGTCAGTGGTACATACCCACCAGTTACTCCTTGGAAACTTTATACAGAAGAGACTCTGAAACTTGTTCTCAAGCATAGGGATTTTAACGCAAATGGAAGAAATAAGGAGGTAAAATAGCTGAACAGAAATTTTAAAGGGTAGCTCAAAGAGACGGAGTCAAGTATTGTAATGAAATGTGCAAAGACATGGAGTTAAAAACCAGAAGGGAAGAACACATTCAACATTTCTCAAGTTGGAAGAACTGAAGAGAAAATTCAAACCTCATCTTGCAATATTGAAGGATTCTATTGGCAAAATATTGAATGATGCAGAAAACAACAAAAGAAGATGGAAGGGGAATATGCAGTCACTGTACCAAAAAGAAATGGTTGATATTCAACCATTTCAAGAGGTAGTATATGATGAAGAGCCAGTGGTACTGAAGGAAGAAGTCCAAGCTGCACTAAAGGCTCGGGGAAAGAACGAAGCTCCTGAATTGATGGAATTCCAATTGAAATCTTTCAACAAGCTGCTTAAGCACTGGAGGCACTCACTCATCTATGCCATGAAATTTGGAAGACAGCTATCAGGCCAACTCAATGGCAGATATCCATATTTGTACCCATTCTAGGTCTTGACAAGTTAGTTGACATGATCTCTCCTTTTCTTTTCATCATTTTCCATGCATAGGCTTGAAGAAGAAATGTATGTGTGTGTTTGTGTCTCACAAACTAGATAATCTTCTCTTAGAATAGTGGTGCTCAACTTTGGCTGCTAATTGTAATCACTAGAAACGTTGAAAACTACTGATGCTGCTAGAGATTCTGATTGATCTGAGCGTGACTTGACAATTAAGAATTTTGTAAATTCTCCTGATGATCCAAAGTACAGCTGTAGTTATGAAAAACTGACCTAGACCTTTGTTTATCTTTTGACCTGCATGTAATCTGTTGTTGTTAAGTCTGTCAAGTCGGTTCAGAATCATAGTGACCCCATATAGGTTTTCCAAGGAGTGGCTAGTGGGTTTGAACTTCCAACCTTGGAGTTAGCAACCCAGTACTTACCCTACAGTGCCATACCAGGACTCCTGTATATAATTAGACCCATAAAACAAACAAACCTATTGCTGTTGAGTTGATTCTGACTAATAGGAATCTTATAGAACAGAATAGAATTGCCCTATTGTTGTTGTTGTTAAGTGCCATTGAGTTGATTCCTACCCATAGGGACCCTGTATAGGGTTTCCAAGGAGCAGCTGGTAAGCTTGAACCACCAACCTTGCAGTTCAAATGATTGATGCAGTAGCCCACAGCACCACACCAGAACTGCCCCATAGGTGTCTTATATATGTCAGCTCTTTCTCCCAAAGAGCAGCCTGTTTGTTGAATCTTGGTTTCCCTTGCCTACTTTTGTAAAACAGACACTTGAAGGAGAGAGAGAGAGGAATAGCCAGAGACATCGCCAGAGAAATCTTGTAAGTCCTTCTCCATCCTATAACTGTTTGGAATAACTAAAATGGGTCTAGAACTTGCCCAGTGAAGGAGGCGCCCTTCAGAGCGTTTGCACTGCACAAGACCATAGGTGGAATCCTGATCATCATCCAGAATCTTCTGAGGTGGGATATTCCCACATGAAAGGACAAGCAGACCAGTCTGGAGCAGCTAGAAGAACAGAAGATACTTCTTGAAAGAAAGAACAGCAGGGAAAAAAAAAACAAAACAGCAGTCCAATTGACTACTACAAGAACAAACAAGTTGTTCCCCAGGGAGCCATCAAGGCAAGTGGTCAGGTCTCCTTAAGGCAAACCCCTTTCCAAGACTGAAACTCAAATGGAATACACTAGCAGGCATATGATCCTGCTGCTGACCACATTGGTCATCAATAAGGGGAAGAGTAGGAAAAACAGCAATGAAGTTGTGAACTGAGTCCAACCACATTCAATAGACTCTTGTTAACCTGAATTGAGACCTGGTTAGCCAGCAGTCTGACGAGACTTGGGGACTTCTGGGCCCAGGGGCAGGGACATGGCCTCAGAGGACTAGAATGGATTGTGAAGCATCTAGCTCATAAAAGAGAGGAGGGATGCATGAGAACACCCACACTTGCAGATAGTACCCATTTGACCTGGCATCAATGGCTGGATGATCAGAACACGACTAGAGGAAGAAAGAAGAGGGAAGGGAAAAAAAAGGGAGTAACCCACAAAAGTTGATGAACTTGACCTATGCTTGTGGATGCAGTATGACAAAGGAGCAGACAAATCTCTACAGGAGGATCATTCCCACCCCCTTTGTACACAGGGTCGGCAAGGATGGGTAACTTAGATATTGACTACCCAAAATGGGGGGCCACAAAGGCAAGAAGTGACTGGCTTACAAGCTTTCAATAAGAAACCTAGCTCCACAGGATACAGGGAAATGTAGAATCTCCACAGAATTGTTTCCAACCTGTCTGGATGAGGTTGATAAAAGGTGAGGGGGGAAAGGACTTCTGTGGTTCAATAGGGAATGATAGGTATCTGGTCTGGTCTGACAGTGAGTGTTGGAAAGGTAAATGTAAATGTTTGGTAACAAAAGGAGGGGAGCAGCTAATTTTGCAGTCCAGGAGTGGAGATCCCTGGAACCATCAAGGGAGAAAAGTGAAGTGCGAGACCCTGTCCGGGAAGGAAGTGACACTAGGGATGGAGGCAGAAACAATGAAGTGGACAGAAGGAGCAGCTGGAGACTCTGGACTCAGGAAGGGAGAGAGGCTGTGTGCTGGCGACCAGGGGGCAGGAGTATGGGGTGTAACTTTTGGGTGTTTGATGATGCGTGCAGGAGGATTGTGATCATTGCAATGAAACAAAGCATGATAGGATCAATGTAAAGGTAATGTTCACCCATGTAAGCCAACACATAAATCACAATAAAAACTAAAAACAAAAATACAAAAAACTAATGGGTGACCTAGGACCATCAATGGAGAAGAGCACAAGCGGAATGCGAGACCTTATCCAGAGAAGCAGAGATACCAGAAATGGAGGCAGAGATGGGCACATAGAGAGAGAGAGCAGCTGAGGACTCTAGAATCATGGGAAGAGAGGGACTAAGAGATGGAGGCCAGGAGGTAGACTGTGCTCTTTGGTGGTGTAAATTATTATATTTGCCTGAGTGTTTTAAAAGAACAAACAAAACAAAAACTAAAGTGAATAGAGAGAAATACTGTTAACTGATGGTACATGGAAGGGATTATAATTACTGTAATGAAACAAGGTGTATGATTTGTTGAATGTAAAACTGATGATCTGCCCTGTAAACTTTCAGTCAATCCATAGTAAAAACCTTAAAACAAAACAAAAAACTAATGGAGGAATGCTATAATATCACTTTTTTCCATTTAATTACTGACAAGTATCGGAGGTAAAAAGCACTTTTCAACTTAGTTCTAGATCAAGAATAGGGCTTAAGAAAATTCTTCAAGTGCTATGTGTTTTGTTGTTTAACCTTGGTTAATAAAGCCTGTATAATGCTGGAAGCACCTAGAATTTTCAAGGCCTTTATTAACATCCCAGATATGCCACTTTTGTTACCAAGTTATTGCTATGTACTTGATGTAAGAAATGAAGAGTCACAGAGGTTTCATAAGGCACAGAGGAAACATAGATTATAACTAAAGTCTGACTTTAATGATATACTTTGTTGAAGTTCAGTGAGTTTTGACAAATAATTAATAACTTAAAATTGTGATGGTATGCTGATTCAATGCAAAGGAGAAAGAAGTCTGGAAAAGTTGTCTGGAGTCGAGTTCTCTGGAAAATAGACTGTTAGCCTGAGATTTATGTTCAGAATGTTTTGGAGGGAATGCTATCTAGGACAACATCTACTTAGGATGAGCGAGGCAGTTTGGGAAAAGGAAGAAGTTACACTGAAGTTCAGTTTTAACAAGAGGCCTCAGCCATACCTCATGCATCTGTGAAGTTGGGTGGGTGGCTCTACAGCCAAGTCCTGAATTAAATGGGCTGAATCTTTGTACCAAACTTGACCTACTATTGTATGTGAAAGGGTTAAAGCAATAGCTTGTTGTTAAGTGCCTTCTAGTCAGTTCTGACTCTTAGCGACCCTGTATAGGATTTCCTAGAAGATTCTAGTGAGTTTGAACCACCAACCTTGCGGTTAGCAGTCCAGTGCTTTATTCTATAGCACCACACCAGGATTCCTGGCATCATTCCTGGAGAGCAGCTGGGGAAGTGAGTGCCTGCATTCTGGAGGGGACTGTAGGCATAGCACATCAGCTTTCACTTCAAAAGTGAAACACAAAATGGAGAATGTCTAGGGGGAAGGACAAAAGCTAAGAACCATGTTACCTAATTTTTCTTTTTTATTGGCATATTTAATTCTCCAGAATTATTCTCCTGCTGTTGACTTCAGGACTATGAATCAAGCACATTATACCAGTTTAATAAATGATGAAACTATAGCAGTTTGGAGACAAAAACTCTCAGAACATAACAACGCAAATACAATCAAGTATGTGCCTGCTTGTCTTCATTTAATTTATTTCGAAAGTGTATTGGAACTGTCTCGTTTAGTAATTTTTCCCTACTTCCCTATTGAAGTTGTGAATATAAATGGAGTTTCACATTTTAGGGAACCTTTTTGTGCACACATTTATTCAGGTTTGGTGCTGTCATCCCTAAATAAAATAACGATTGTTTTCCCATTCTCACTCAGAGATTATTCCTCAGAGTGAATCACTCAGAGTGTATTCACTGAGATCTTACAAATTCCTAACTGAGTAAGGCCTGCCTTGGTCTTTCTGCCAAGGGAAGTCTGCAATGTTGTTGTTTAGCCCCAGGGATTCCCTTCATAAACATTTTCAAAAGCATCCTAAACTTCATCTGTCATCTTGCCTAATCTGAAGACTTTCTTGCATTTTGCCATTCAAACTGAATGAAATGATCATTCAGAGTCAGTTAGAGAAGAATATTATAATAAAAGGATCGAGACCTTTCATCAATTTTATTTTATTAAAATGTAATTTTTTTTCTGCTCATTTAAAGATATTTTCATTGATTTTCCTCAGCATTTCTATTTTTCTGCAGAGAATCCAATCCTTGGGAATGAGTAAATCATGCTCTGTGCTAAGTTATGGTCATTCCTAGAAATGTGATTAATACGAGGGTAAGTCAAAAAGTATTGCTACAAAATCATAGACATTTTAATTAAACAAAAATAACAAAATGGAAAGCTATGGTTTCTTACCATGTCCTCCACCTAAGTCTATACACTTCTGGAGGCATTTTCTATCGTTCTAACCCTTCCCTGAAGAATGCTGTGCTCTACGATTTACACCAAGTCAAAACAATAGCTTTGGCATTCTTGAGGAACTCCAATTGTGTTGCTTTTAAATGTTTAAATGTTGTGAGTGTTCTTTGAGTTTGGGGAACAAAAAGAAGCCTGAAGGGACAAAACCAGGTCTATAAGGTGGATGAGGTAAGACTTCCCAGTGAAATTCTTAGAGGACAACCCTTGCTACCCTCAAAGAATTTGCATTGTCATAATAGAAAAAAAAAAAAAAAAAAAAAAAATTCTCAGCATAACTTTCCTGGCCTTTTTTTCCCACCAATGCAGTTTTCAGTTTTCTTAAAAGTTCATAATAAGCCCCCATGATTGTTCTGCATTCTTTGAGAAAAATATGTCAGATAACCCCTTTGAAATCACAGAAAAGATGATCCAAGAACGGGAAAGACCACCAACCTTGACAAATAAAGATACCCTGAGCTGCCTTCTCCACCTTGAATCTATGGACCCAGCAGATCCCCCCCAGAAATCACTATTTTGATTGGACCTCTGATTGTTTTCAGAATTATATTGGTAAATTCAAGATTCATCCACAGTTATGATTTGTTCCATAAACTCTTCTTCATTATCTTCTGTCTTGCTTAAAATATTGTTGGAATGATAGGTCTTTGGGCTAGTGGATCTTAATGCAACACTTTGGGAACCTGTTTAGTCAAAGCATGCTGAGGCCAAGATGTTCAGTTAAACATTAAAATGTTGATCCATGTAAAATCCTAACTTCAGAAGTATGATCAGTCATTCTGTGGCCTTGTTCCACCAGTTTCTGGACTCAGCCACAGTTTTTTTATTTGTCACGGTTGGTGGTCTTTCCCTTTCTTGGCTCATCTTTGAGGTCTTCCCAATTTTCTTTAAAAGGCTTACTCCATATAAAATTGTTGTATGTGGAGCAGCATTTCAGTAAATTTGTTGCAAAGCTTCAATGATTTGGAAAGATTTCCATTTAAGTTTTAAAAAATTGATATTATCCCTGACCTCAACATCATTTTTTTCCATGGTGCACAAAGCATCCATTTAAGTTTTTAAAAATTGATATTATCCCTGACCTCAACATCATTTTTTTACATGATGCACAAAGGCACCTAAACAAGTCCTGGTGTGGCGCTGTGGGTTAATGCGCCAGACTGTAAAGCCGTTTGAACTGTAAAGTCAGCAGTTCAAGCTCACTAGCTACTCCTTGGAAACCCTATTACTGGGTCGCTATGGGTCGGGATCGACTCGACGGCACTTAACAACAACAACAACAAGCAAGACTAGGAGTATGGGTGTGGTGCTGTGGGTTAATGCGCCAGACTGCAAAGTCGTTTGAACTGCAAGGTCAGCAGTTCAAGCTCACCAGCTGCTCCTTGGAAACCCTATACAGGGTTGCTATGGGTCAGAATTGACTCGACGGCACTGAACAACAACAACACACAAGACTAAGACAAGTAAATTACTGAGCAAACTTACCTGTAACCATCCACTGATCACAGAGACATGTTTAAACACAATTTGTTCTAGAATAAACCCATGTATGTATGAATTGGAATCCTAGTAGCAATGCTTTTTGACTTACCCTCGTATATCTTGGTTTATGATATAAATCATTGTGGGGCAAATGCCCACCAAATTTTTTGGTATTCTTTGGCAGTAGAGTCAAGACCATTGGGAATGCCAGATAGCAACTTCGTGGTAGACCAGTTAATCCTTCTCCCCAGAGTTCATGCCAAAGGATGTCAGGGTCTAGTCCCCAAGGAAAGGACTAGATGGCAGTCAAGAGGGCTGATTATAGATTTACTCTGTTGGGGACATTGAGAAATTACTTCATTGTTAGTTCTGTTTTCTTCTTTGTAAAATGAAGGGATAGAAGAAATGATCTTTAAACATCGTTCCTGCCCCCAATTCTGAATAACAGGAGTTACTGCAGTCTCTTCCCAACCATATATTTTTTTTCAGTATTTCCCTTTTTTGTACAGTAAATAAGAGAGTCTAGTGTTCCTGACATGCAATTATACTCTGGGTATCTGGAAATTAGCTATTTTCCCAAAGCCAGTATAATCTAGGCAGTAACAATGAACACTCACTTCACTCATTTTTAGTTTCTAAAGGTAAGCCACAAAATAAGGAGGAAGTGATTGCTCAGTTATTAAATTGCAAAGTTAATTTCTGTATTTGGGGAACAGCAGCTTACACTTTTGTTTCATTTTGTATTTGGAGGTAAGGTGGTGGGAGTGTCTTAGATGGCTGGAGGTAGAAGAAGGTTCAAGATCATTATCAGGGGGAGGCTCAAGAGTTTCTCTTTCAGTGGCTTTCATACTCACGCTTTATTCTTACACAATTGATACTCTCATTTTATTCTTACATGATGTATGGAAATTTTAAGTTCTTGTCCATTTTGAGATAAGGAACAATGTTTCTCTAAAGCAATTGTCCATTTTCCCAGGCTTCATCTGGATAAGCAAGAGCTGCTATTAATGAAACTCTAGAGTTAGATGGCTGAACTATTGCTGATGCTTAAATCCACCATTTATTTATAATTCTTAAAGGCTTCCTTCCCTTTTTGTTTCTGAGCAGTGGTGTTGTTCAGATATTATCTTCTGCAGCCTGTTGGAATGGAAGTTTTCTCGAAAAAAAGTAAGTGGCGTAGAATCTTAAACACTACAGGTGATACAAATACTTACTTAGCAAAGGTTATGAAAGACTTCTGGTCTCCTTGATGGTGATTGGTCTTAATTCGGTGGATAACTAATGATTTTCACAAACACTGGAATGCCTACTAATGACGAATAAGAGGACAGCAGAAAGGGCAATGCTGATTCAGGCCTGGCTGGTGGAAATGCAGATTACCAACAGACACTGTTTCTCAGAAACAGTTGGTGCAATTAAAAGTAAGATTTTTCAGGGGATTCTGAAATGCTACCCAGAATTAGTTGTTAAGCGCCATCAAGCCAGGGTTCTGGGTCATAGCAATCCTGTATGGGGTTTCTGAGGAGCGACTTGAGGGTTTGACTCACCTTGTGGTTCAAGATGAATTTACGATTCAGTGCTTTATCCTACAGCACCACACCAGATAAGCATGTGCAACTCTTCATGTAGAGTATATTAAATTTTTGTCTCTACCAGTAAGATTTATGGAAAATAGATTCATCCATTAAATAAGTTATATCAGCACCAACATAGCTTGGTGGCATCTCAGTTATATATAGAGTTTTTCGTTTTAATTGGAAAGCCTTTAATTTGTCTTTATTAATGTTCTTGCTCTTAGTACAAGGTACATCACCTGATATTCTTAAAATCATGAAATATAAATATAAATATAGTAATTTTAAATGTTTCCTATGTTTTTATATAAGCTCAGTATGTCTCTGTCTGTAGTAGTGATTCGGTTTAACTTTATGTGAGGGACAAGCACGTTGTCAGATGTTGTGCCGTGAACTGAATTTCTTGAATGGTCAGTAACCGCTTGACAACAGCAGTGTAACTCCTTTAATCAGATTTATACCTAACAACGTTGTTCCGAATCACAGCAACCCTGTACAGGGTTTCCAAGGCTGTAAATCTTTACAGGTGAATGTAGTGATATCACTCATGATAATGAAGATTCATTGTAGATAAGATTTTTCTTTTAAATGTTTTAATGAGAAAGGTTTTAACAAGGGGTTTCTACTTGCCATTTGTTGATGACTAAGACAGTTTACTCAGAGAATGCATTTTGCACCAAAGCACAGCATCTACATCCAGTTCAATGGAGCACATTATAGAAAAAGTGAAAAAAAGGGCAAGGGTAGTCAGAAATAACACTCTGCTTATAAATTTCGAGACAGCTTCAACTTTAAATGATAATCCTTGCACTTTGACTTGAAAGACAAATGATTTGAAAATTCTAAGACATGAAGAAGGAATTCCAGAAAGGATTACTCCATTGGATTTCTTCAGAGTGTGATAATTTTATAAATTTTATCTCTCAGTTCAAATTTAAACTGATTCCATATGGGCAAACTGCTTTGTTTACTTACTTATAATTCCTATGTTAGAAGAGCCCTGTTAGCACAATGGTTGAAGCACTTTTGCTACTAACCAAAGGGGTAACAACAATTCCAACCTATCACCTGTTCTTTTATTTGACAACTTGCTTCCATGAAGATTTACAGCCGTGAAAACCTTATAAGGCAGTTCTACTAGGAGTTAAAATCGACTTAATATTAGTGGGATTTTATGAGTCTTTCTTTACTTTAAAAGTTTTTATTATTTTTATTATTATTATTACATGTATTATTACATGCTTGGTTTGTTTTTGTTTGTTTAGAATTGATGAGCATTTTAAAACCAGCCCCAAAATCCCTGGGATTGACTTAAACTCAACTAGAGTGTTATTTGAGAAGTTAATGAACTCTCAGCACTCCTTGATTCTGGAACAGGTATGTTCTTTACATTTACAAAGTGCATTCTTTTAAAAAGCACACACTATTGCATTACAATTTTAAGACAGTAATTTTATTTTCAAGAGAAACAAGATGAGAAAGCTGAAATCTTATAAAGATAAAAAGGGGGAAAATCTTGTACAAATCTGGACTTTGTAGAACATTCACTTTGGGAATTTGATCTACCTTTAACTCACTTTTTGGCTTAAATTTTTCTAAGGAAATAGCCTGCTAGAAGGTCTTTTCATTAATGTACTCTAAGAGCCGAGATCAATGCCTGGCTCATAGTAGGTGCTAAATTAATCCCTACTGAGAATTTGAGTGTCTGTCAAATAGTTTTGATTCTAGAGATCAAGTTAACTAGATCTGACTTATGTCTGAATGTGTCAACCCCCATTTTCTCTGATTCAGATCTTAAACAGCTTTGAAAGCTGCCTGATTCCCCAGTTGTCAAGTTCACCACCAGATGTCGAAGCAATGAGAATCTATTTAATACTCCCAGAGTTTCCCCTGCTCCAGGATTCCAAGTATTACATAACATTGACTATTCCTTTGGCAATGGCCATCCTACGACTGGATACGAACCCCAGCAAAGTATTAGGTGAATTTGCTAAACTCAATACCAATGAGTTTGTTCTTACTATTTTGTTGGTATGACCACTGGGATTGGCTATCAGTAGATGAGATCCAAGAATTTATTTGTTGCTATTTAATAGTCTTAACATTGAAACTTTTTATGCTTTGCCGTTTATTTCTAGCTAACTGTATTTGCAGTTTAAACAAATTGAGCAATTATTTAGGTTATTTGAAATTATTCATGTCAGATTACTCTTGATATGTAAATATCCACAGTAATTCATCTTTAAACTTTTTTGTTTTCTTGCTTCCCACACTTGTTAATAGTTATTAGTGCCTCAAAAATTAGTGTTCATCTGTCTTTTTTTCCTGTACCTAATTTAGGGGGTGGGAGTGAAATGAACAGCTTTGGTGATACAGAGGTCTCCAAAAAAGGAGAGGAAGAAAATGACATAGTGGGGACTTACCAAATGTTTGTTTTGCTTTTCTTTTTTAGGACAGTTGAGTCCACACTGATTTTTGCAGGCTACGGACACTTTGCTGAGATAAGAACCTTCCGTTCCTCAGTGAATTGGAGAGTATCTCTCATGGGAGTAGCATCTGAGGTGTTTTTATTAATCAAGTGCAGAAAGTCTGTCAACTGGCTTATTTATTTTTGGCCCTGGTAAATTTTTTTTTAGGTGTTCATTGCAACTCAGTAACTTCTGTTTTCCAAATGGACTGGGATGTTACTTGAGTGTGGTCTCTCCATAAGTAACAAAACCTGTGTTATTGAGGGTGGAATACTGCTTCCACCTCTGCAGAAGATATAACAGCAAAATAGTTAATATATAAGTTCTATTTTCCAAAAGATCAAAAGCCCTTTGGAGGATACTGTATCTTAGATGTTCTAATAGATTGTGAAGTAGAGAGATGATAGTCTCCAGGGGGAATTTTTAGCTTTCTTATATTTTGGGTGCTTTTAGTTTTTAGTTTTCCAGATAAGATATGGAAAGAGATCAGAATTACTCAGCTTTACACTTGATTTGTTTTAACTTCTTATTATAGATCTTGAAAAGAATATTCTGAAATTGTAGAGAGAACACAATGTATACCCATCACCCCGATTCAACAATTATAAATGTTTTGCCCCTTTTGTTTGATCTGTTCCTCCTACCACCTCCTCTTTTGTATTTCTGCTGGAATATTTTTAAAAGACATCTCAGATATTAAATTACTTCACTGTAAATATTTCAGGATGGCTTGATTCATTTCTGACAGAGTAGAAGCCAGTGGTATAATCTTTTTGTCTGGTTATGAGAGAGCATTATTTGTAGGAACTAGAAATAGTATCTTTCAATGAATCATACCATTTGGAGGAAGGAATTCTTGCCATATTGGTGCTGTTTCTAGGGCTTGTCATAATTTAAGTGGTGGCTGAGGATAGGGCTGAAAGGACTGGGAGAAGTAAACCCTTTTTGAGTTAATACTGTGGGCATCCCTCCTGCCCCTAATATATGTGTGCCTTAGCATCTTGTCAACATGTAATCTTGAAATTGAATATTTACGTTAGCATTCGGAGTGAGTGTTTGAGGGGGACAAAATCGGATCAAGTTTAAAAGCAAAAAAACAAAAGCAAACAAACTAGAGATTCTAATGCAGCTGCTGCTCTCTCCAGAAATGCTCTCTCCACTGCAAGAAAATGGATTCTTTTTTAAAGTGACTTCTGGGAAACTGTATTTTAGACTAATGTTCATCTTGTAACTGGAGCAGTTGTTAGATAGTAGTGAGAAGGCATAAAAGTGGATAAAAGATGACATGTTGAAATATGTGTTTTCTTTCTTTCTAAAGATAACTGGTGGTGTCAAGTATGCCCAAAATATTTTGTGAAGCTGGTAAACCTCTATAAAGGTGCAGTCGTTTATCTACTAAGGGGAAGAAAGACATTCTTAATTCCTGTGCTGTTTAACAATTACATTACAGCAACTCTTAAGCTCTTGGAGAAGTTATATAAGGTGAGCAGAGAGAGGAGCCAGTGGGAAGAGGGGTGAGTAGGTGGTAACGGGAAATGTCCTGCTTAAAGGAAGTTATTTCCAGAAGTCTGGGTTTTAGTTGTCCTTGTTTTGTTATTTATCAGGTAAATCTTAAAGTGAAGCATGTGGAATATGATACATTTTATATTCCTGAAATATCCAGCCTTGTGGACATTCAGGAAGACTACCTCATGTGGTTCCTGCATCAAGCAGGGATGGTAAGAATTCATTAAAAACCTATCTTTAAGTTTTAGTCTTTTCTTATTGTATAGCTCAGGATGAGAAAAGCATATTTAAACCCAGTGTAACTTGGCCTTTACTTTTGTTTAACTTTTTATTGTGATTTAGGTGAAGGTTGACAGAGTATTTCAGTTCCCAATTTAATATTGCAAACTCTTATTTTTTCATGAATCACCCCAATGTAACAGTTTTCATCCCCCTTTCTGTTTGTGTTTCCTGTTGGCCCTTTCCTTTTCCATCCTGTCTTCTGATCTTTGTCTCTGGGCAAATACTGCCCCTTTGATCTCCGGTGGTTGATTGTTTTAAGGAATTTATGCTTACCTGATGTTATTGGTCATCCTACAGACCTGTCTCTAGTTTGTCTGCTAATTCAGCTATGGGGGTGAGTCAGTTCTAGACTTGAGGGTGACTGAGGGTCATAGTCTTAAGAGTTCCTCCAGTCTCTATGCAAGCATTGAGCCTTTTTTTTTTTTTTTTAATGATTTCAAGTTTTTATAATTGTAGTGTTGATGTGGCCCTGTGGGCTAATGCCATGGACTACAAAGTTGGTTTGAGTCTCAAGGTCAGCGGTTCAAGCTCACCAGTGGCTCCTTGGAAACCCTATACAGGGTCGCTATGGGTCAGAACTGGCTCAACAGCACTTAACAACAATCTCATACAATATTTACCTGATTGTGATTGACTTATTTCATTCATCATACGTCCTCCAGATTCATCAACATTTTGAGATATTTTTCAGTTTCATCATTATTATTAAATGTTGTGTAATACTCCATTTCGTTCTGTTTTGCATAGGGTCTCTCTGAGTTGGAACCAACTCAACAGCACCTAACAACAATGAACAAGTATTCCATTATACGTTTGTACTTTATTTATCCATTCATCCATCGACAGGCACTTAATTTGTTTCCATCTTTTTGCTATTGTGAATAATGCTGCAGTGAACATGAGTATGCATATATCGGTTCACATCATGGCTCTTTTTTTTTTTTTTAAACTTTTTTTTATTGTGAATTAAGTGATAGTTTACATGGGAAAACATCAGCTTTACATTCATCTTATCGTATTTCATTTCATTGCAATGATTATAATCATTCAACAACATTTACTTCCATTCTCTCTGGGGTTTTTTTTGGATGTACACCAAAGCACTCAGGATTATACCACTATTTAAACAACCAAAGGCACACCCTGAAAGCCCGCCCCCTGGCTGTCAGCACACAGCCCTTCTCCCTCCCTGTATGCAGAGTCTCCAGCTGCTCCATCTTTCCACATCATCGTCTCTGCCTCCATCTCTGGTGTCACTGCTTCGCTGGATAGGGTCCTGCACTCTGCTCTTCTCACTTGATGGTCCCAGGGTCCTCACTTCCTGGACTACAAGATCAACCACTCCTCTCCTTTGGTTACAAAACATCTACCTTTACATTTGCAGCATTCACAATCTGTCCTTATAGTACTTATTCACTATTGAACCACAAGTGTCTTATCTACATCTCTTTTCACCAACCCCATCCAGACAGGTTGGAAACCACTCAGTGGAGATTTTACCTTCCCCCACGCCCTCTGAAACTAGGCTCCCTTTTTTTTAAGCTGTTATTATAAATTATGTGTTAGTTTACATGGGTGAACATTATCTTTACATTCATCCTATCATATTTTGTTTCATTGCAATGATCACAATCCCCTGCATACATCATCAAACAACCAAAGGGTACACCCCACATGCCTGCCCCCCGGCCACAAGCACACAGCCCCTCTCCCTCCCTGAGTCTAGAGTCCCCAGCCACTCCTTCTGTCCATGTCATCGTCTCTGCCTCCATCCCTAGTGTCACTGCCTCCCCAAACAGGGTCTCACACTTCACTTTTCTCCCTTGATGGTTCCAGGGATCTCCGCTCCTAGACTGCAAAATCAACCGCTCCCCTCTTTTTGCTACCAAACATTTACATATACCTTTCCAACACTGTCAGACCTGATAGCAATCATTCCCTATTGAACTTTTATTGTCAATTGAGGGAAGGTTTACAGACAAGATCATCAGCTTTACATTGAACAAATCATACACTTTGTTTCATCTCAAGATTATAATCCCTTCCTTCCAAGCAGTTATCTTGCTTCCTCCCAGTGGTTCCTGTTTCCATTCCACCCACCTTTCTCTCCATTTTGATTTTGAATGATTGACCATTCCTTGGTGAGCATACCTTGCAAATAAAAATCTGTCTACTGCTTGGCTGGAAATTGGGTCACAAGGGTGAGTTCTTTTCCAGACCTGAAGGGTGGTCTCAGATTTCTCTAGTACTTTTCTGACCAGTGAATGTTTTCCTTTTTTGTTGTTCTTTTCTTTTTAATAATTTTGAGTTTTGTTCCACATTTTCTCCCACTCTATATGGGATCCTCTGATGTAATACGATTCATGGCAGTTGGTAACCAGGCACCATCTAATTCTTCTGGTCTCAAAGTTGTGGAGACTAATGTTCACATGTCCCGTTAGTCCACTGGACTGATTGATTCAAAACTTCTTCAATTCTTAGCACTTCTTTCTTCCACACATGGAGATACCAATAGCTGCACCTTAGATGGCTGCTCATGAACTTTCAAGATCCCATCCCTTGCAAGCAGGATGTAGAACATTGTCTTTGTGGACAATGTTATGCTGATTGACCATGGTGTCCCCTGGACTATGGTACTGAGCCCCTAGGACCATCAACTTATTGCCTTAAGATGTTTGATAATATCTAGGTAGTTTTCATAATTTTGCTTGCTGTATGCTCCACCAAATTCATAATTGTGTTTGCATGAAAGGTAAATACTCATGTATAAATATCCTCTTTCAAATTCTTATATATTAGTGGGATATGATGTTCTGCTCCCGTAAATATTTATAGCCTCGGAAACCCTGTGCAGGGTCGCTATGAGTTGGAACCGACTCCACGGCACTTAACAACAACAATAAATATATATTGTTGTTGTTATGTGCCGTGGAGTCGGTTCCAACTCATAGCAACTGTGTACACGGTTTCCAAGGCTGTAAATCTTTACGGAAGCAGAAAGCCTCATCTTTCTCCCATGGAACAGCTGGTAGTTTCAAACTGCTGACCTTGAGATTAGCAACCCAATTCGTAACCACTACACTACCAGAGGCTCTTAAATTCATATAGTGGGATATATAAATATATATAAACATATAAACAGATAGTAGATGGCAGTCCTAATGTGGCCTGTAGGTTAACGTGCTGGACTGCAAAGTTGGTTTGAATTGCAAGGTTGGTGGTCCAAGTTTACCAGTTGCTCTTCAGAAACCCTATACAGGATCGTTATGTGGGTTGCAACTGACTTAATGGCACTTAACAACAACAACATCAAATATATATATATATATATGTAGTCCTGTTGTGGTATTGTGAGTTAATGCACTAGACTGCAAAGTCAGTTTGAACTGCAAGGTTGCCAGTTTAAGTTCACCAGCCACTTCTCAGAAACCTTATACAGAGTTGCTGTGGGTCGGAACCGATGTCAATCTTTTCTCCATTTATCATGATGTTATTTATTGGTATAGTAGTGAGGATTTTTGTTTTCTTTACATTGAGGTGCAGCTCATACCAACTCTCTTTCCACATATAGCAATTAGGTTTTTTTTTTTGTTTTTTTTTAATCTATTTAAAGAATGATGATAGAATCTGCATTGGGATTGAATTATATCTGTAGATTGCTTTAGGTAGTCTTGACATTGTCATAATAATAAGTCCCCCTATCCATGAACATGGTATATGATTCCATTTATGTATGTCTCTTTTGGTTTCTAGTAGTAGTATTTTGTAATTTTCTTTGTATAAATCTTTTATATCTCTGGTTAAATCTATTCCTATTTCATCTTTTGTGTTATAAATGGTATTGTTTTTTCTGACTTCCTTTTCTGATTTCTCTTTATTAGTGTAGAGTAATCCACTGATTTTTGTGTGTTGATCTTGTACTTTGCACTTTGCTGAGCCCTTGTAAAGTTCTAGTTATTTTCTTGTTGATTCTCTGTGATTTTCTATGTGTGCCACTGAGTCTGTTCCAAGTCATAGCTACTTTGTATATAGTTTCCAAGAAGCAGCTGGTGGGTTTCAGCCTCCAATCTTGCAGTTAGCAATTCAGTGGTTATACTACAATGCCATATCATGTTATCGGCAAATAGAAATAGTTTTATTTCTTCTTTACCAAATTGTTGTTGTTATTAAGTGCCTTTGAGTCAATTCAGATCTATAGCGACGCTGTGTAGGATGCCTTTTATTTAGCTTTCTTGCCTTATTGCTCTGACTAGGACTCCTAATATCATATTGAATAGGAATGGTGATATAATTTTGTGGTTCCTATTCTCAGGGGAATGCTTTTTAGTCTCTGTTGAGAATAATGTTGCCCATTGATTTTTGTGTATATGATGGGTCTTCAAGAAGTTCATTGAAAATTTCAATTAAAATGGAATTTTTTCATTAAATTTTTGAAGCCCTTTCACATGCCCTTAATTGTATTGAGTAATTTCTCATCTACACCTATTTTGCTGAGTGTTTTTATCAGAAATTGATGTTGGATTTTGCCAAATGCCCTTTCTGCATTAACTTGTCCTTTATTTTGGTACTAATGTCACACCTTTATTTTATCCAGGTAGCTTTTGCATTCTTAAAACTGAAATTGAAGAATTTTGAGTAAATGCATGGTCATAGGATTTATAAACAGAATATTGTTGTTAAGCATCGTCGAATCAGTTCTGACTCATTGTAACCTTGCATAAGGTTTCTGAGGAGCGCTGGTGGATTTGAACTGCTAACCTTGCAGATAGCAGTCCAGCGCTTATCCTACAGTGCCATACCAGAATTCCAAGAAACAGGATATTATACATATTAATTACTTCCCACATTTGAAAATCAAGACATATATTAAAAATTAATTTTTTGAGCGCTAGCCTATCTTCTTAAATGGCACTAGTTGGCTGGAGTTCAGCAGTGGCTCTTTAGATGAAGCCTGTGTTTTCCACAATCCCTATTGCAGCTTGATTTATCCATGACATCAATGAAATGGTCATTTGCTAATCATCATCTTTTCACAACCAACTTTCAGTTCACCTCTGATTTATGATTACATTCCTGTGAAAATGTTACACATCCAATATTTTAGGCATACTGTTCAGGGATTTCAGATTCCTGTGGTCCCTGATACCCCTGTGTCTTAATTTTCTAGTACTGCTATAACAGAAATACCACAAGTGGATGACTTCACCAGCTAGAAACGTATTCTCTCACAGTTTAGGAGGATAGAAGTCCAAAGTTAGAGTATAAGGCTTTCTCTTTTTATTGACTCTAGGAAAGGTCCTTTTTGCCTTTAAGTATCTGTAGGCCCAGCATTCCTTAGAGATCTCCATGTGTCTGAGCATCACTCTTTCTCTAGATATAGGAACTTGCTAGTGCAGGGACCCCAGGTCCTAAGGATTCACTCACTCCTGGCTCTCCCTTTTTGGTGGTAGTGTCTTCCTCTGAACTCTGCTCACTTCTTTCTCCTTTTATGTCTCAAAAGAAATGGACTGAAGATACAACCTAATCCTGTAGATCACATCTAGTCTTATTAACATCATAGAAGTGACGATTTCTTACACATAGAATAATTATATCACCTCATAGAGTTGATTGTGTCTTATTAGATCGCATCATGGATGTGCTAGCTACATCTTAAACCAATGAGAATCCTGACTCAGCCACATTGACACAAAACCTTACCTATCACACCCTGACTTGGCAGGAACTGCTCAGTTTGATTGCAGATTGTATTGGCCTATTCAAGGCTCTGTAGGATCTCCCATCTGTGCAGTATGTGTAAATCTGAGTTCTGTCAGAAAACAGAATGATCATTTGGCTACTACATTATTGAATTCACATGCCATAGATACACTGAGGTGACTCCTTGAGCAACAGCTTTATCACCAACTTTGCGGTAATATTTTCCGGTAGAGGTTTTGCAAGTTATCGTTGGTTTGGATTAGGAAGGTACTTAAATAGGTTTCTTTTACTAAATAACCAAGGTTGTTTTCTTTGTCAAATAATAGATGACCAAGCTAGACTTAGTGTGTTTTTTAATAAGAGTTCATGTACCTTGAATTTAAAAAATGTTTTTAAATAAAAGTGAATTAAGAGCCTTCCAAATAGGTTGACAGGGGAAACTTACATGTAGCTACGTACAAAGTAATTAAGAAATTGGAAAAAGGTATGCTTTTTTGTGCTGTCAATCTGTGATTGATTATTCATTTAACAATAAAATATTAGCATTTCAATAAATCTTATGAATCACTTAGGTTTACTGCTTTGTTTTCAGATGAGAAAATGGAGGCCTAGAGAAGTTAAACAATTTTTCCACCAATTCAGCTAGTTATTATCAGAGCACGTTCTTCTGTCTTCTACTTTACTCTTTCTTTGACTTGATGCTGAATAAAATAATTCTAATGAACCCTAATTCTTTCTGACCTGGAATAAGAAGTTATTGGTGTTAAAATCTAGATTATCAGACTGTAGTCTCTGAATTCAAGTGCTTATTAAGTGAGTAACTTTTATAATTTTCCTATAGTTCCTTTCTTTAAATACTTCATAAACAAATATAAAGGCTCATGTTCTCCAATAATTAAGGCAGCAATTATTAAGGATAGAAAATTTGGTGAAATTACTGTGTGACCTTTTGTGATCACTGTAGAACTTTTCTACTCTGTAAGATACAATGCTATTAAGGATGGAAGTTTAAATGATTTGATACCTCGAATTTTAACATAAAATGCTAAGCCATTTCATATGTAAATGTATGTGTAGCTTAACCACTTTCAAGTGGTGGTAATGAACAGTAAAGGAGTTCTGGTGGTACAATGGTTAAGCACTTGACTTCTTTACCAAAAGATTATTGGTTCAAAGGCACCAGCAGCTTTGCAGGAGAAAAGACTTGGAGATCTACTCTTGGGAGAATTCCAGCCCAGGGAACACTATGGGGCAATTCTACTCTATTCTTTAGGGTTGCTGTGAGTAAGAATAATATGTGGTCCTACTTATGTGACATACCTTGTTGTTATTAAGTGCCGTCAAGTTGGTTCCAAACCACAGCGACCCGGTATAGGGTTTCCAAGGAGCAGCTGGTGAGCTTGAACTGCCAACCTTCAGTTCAAACGGCTTTGCAGTCTGGCGCATTAACCCACAGAGCCAATATCTAGAGTAGGCAAATTGAGTTAATGGCTCTCAGAGACTGGAGGAATGGAGAAGGGAGACTTACCGCTGAAGGGGCACTTCCATAGTTTCTGTTTGGGGAGATGAAAACCTTTAGGAAATGGATAGTGGTGATGGTTGTGCAATCTGGTAGATTATATATAATTCTTGACTAAATTGTACACTAAAAAGATTTTAAATGGCAGTTTTTGATTATAATTTACAACAATAATATACATTTTAAAACTATTCACAGATTCATTTGTAAATTGATGAAGTACCTCAGGAGGCCTAATACTCGTCTTACTATTGAGTCAGGATAACTTATTCCAAAAAGTATTATTAAAAGCACTTTAAATGCTTTTTGAATATTTGATTTATTTTAAGAGTAGCATGTCTTGGTGTGTGAAGGAAGATATAACATGCCAACAAATAAAATGTAATTTGCATTATCCATGTTGTTGTTGTTACGTGCTGTCAGGTCGGTTCTGACTTATAGTGATCTTGTATAGGGTTTTTGAGAAGCAGCTGGTGGATTTGAACTGCCTAACTTTCAGTTAGCAGTCCAGTGATTATCCTACAGTGCCACACCAGGACTCCTTTGTCCATAATACGCAACAAACTAACTATTGAAGTAAAGGTCCTCAAGGTTCCTCTTTGACATTGAGTTTTTTACAAAAGAGAATTCCAGTGATGCTGTGAATTATACAGAGTTGATGAAATGGCCTATTCTAAGGAACTTTGGTAAGGAGCTTTGGTAGTGTAGTGTTTATGAATAGGGCTGCTAATCTCACGGCCAGCAGTTCAAAACTACCAGTTCCGTGGGAGAAAGATGAGTCTTTCTGCTCCCGTAAAGATTTACAGCCTCGGAAATCCTGTACAGGGTCACTATAAGTTGGAACAGACTCCATGGCACATAACAACAACAACAACAATGGTCTTTTAGGAATACAGTGTTTCTGTAGGACAAGCACTGAACTGCAAGCCACAAGGTCGGTGGTTCAAGTCCACTGGTCACTCTGCAGGAGAAAGATGAGACTTTTTGTTCCTACAAAGACTTATACCCTTGGAAACCCTATACAGGGTCACTATGAGTGAGAACTGACTCAATGGTACTTAACAACAACAATGGATGATCCTTTAGATATTTTATACAGTTAATTTTGTCTTTTTTTTCTAAGGTTTTGTCAAAATATATATCCAGTCAACCATTCAAATGGCCAAATAGAAAGATAGATTGTATACTTTATCATTTGATCTTATATTTGTCAGAAGTAAAAAGTCTGATTTTGAAATCCAGGTAACTAACAGAATGGTTTTTTTTTTTTTTTGTGTACAGAAGGCTAGACCATCAATAATACAGGTAATGATTCTTTAAAAATTTATACTTTTTTTAGCAGTATTCTCAGTGGAATATTATAGTTTTGCCAATAATATGTTTTATTCTAGGATGCTGTAACACTTTGTTCCTACCCTTTTGTCTTTGATGCCCAAGCCAAGACCAAAATGTTACAAACTGATGCTGAACTGCAGATGCAGGTATTGTATATTAAAAATCATTTCCTCTTTTGTGTTTTTCTCATCCTAAATGTTCAGTTGTAGTTTTTCCTGATAGGAGACAGGATATTTTGATCAAATTCCATTATAACTCTTAAAACTATTCTTGTTTTTTCATTATGCATTTATGTAAGTCAAGGGTGGGTGAACTTTCTCGGTAAAGGGCCAGAGAGTAGTTATTTTAAGCCTTGTGGTCTCCGTTAAATTTAACTCTGTCATAGCATAACAGGAGGCTTAGACAATATGTAAATGAATGAACATGTTTATACTCATAAAATTTATAAAAGTTTATGTACTGTGAAATTTTAATATAATCTTCACATGCCATAAAATAATCTTCTTTTGATTTGTTTCACCTATTTAAAACTAAAAACCATTGTGAGCTCAAGTGCTGTACAAAAACAGGCAGCCTGCTAGGTTTAACTACAAAGTCAGTTGATCAGTTTGTTGATCTGTGAAAAAGAAGTAATTAAGTGAAGGTTGTAATTCTTTATTGAATAAATTAAAAAGTTACAGATTCATTAGTAGTGTATTTTAAATAGACATTTTTATTATAAAATAGAATTGATTTTGACAGGCTTACAAAAAACATTGTGAATTAGCAGTCCACACTTATCAGTTCCTATCCGCAGTGAATTTAAATGTCAGTCATTTATTCCTCTCTTCACCTCTCTATCTAGCTTTCTCTGTATCCATCTATCTCTGCATATGAGGAAACTTCAAAAAGTTCACTGAAATACAAAATTAAAAGATAATGGAATTTTTCCATGAATTATTTGAAGCCCCCTTGTATACCTATTTTCAGGGTGATATAATCATGATACAGACATGACATTTCAAAGGTTATCCAGAAAAGATAGACATTTTTCAAAGAATAAAAAACATTTAACCAATGGCTATTAAGTTTCTTTCGCTGCTGTCTTGAAAGTTGTCTTTCTTTAGGTACCATCTTAATTTCAATCACTTTCCTGGAACTCTAGTTATGAATCAGAGGGTTTCATAATTTGTTCCAGTCAACCTCGGATTCAGATGAGAAATATTTGTGTGCCACGTATACATGAGTAACTTAGATTCTCTCCTGTGAAAGGTAGAGCGGGGAAAGGACAAAACGGAGGTGCTGTGAGTTCTCTGAGGTCCACAGGCACGACTGTTTGCTATCCAGGGTATATTCTGGCAAAGTGCTGAGTGATTGTTGCCTTGGGTGTACCATTTCAGGTGGCGGTCAATGGAGCAAACCTGCAGAACGTCTTCATGCTTCTCACCTTGGAGCCTCTGCTGGCCAGAAGCCCCTTCCTGGTCCTTCATGTTCGCAGGAACAACCTCGTTGGAGATGCCCTAAGAGAACTGAGCATTCATTCTGACATTGATTTGAAAAAGCCTCTCAAAGTGAGCTCCTTCAGTGTGTTCCTCTGTCTTCATAGGTTTTCTTTAAACAGCATTGATGAAAACATGATCTTTTTATAAGTGCAACCATTCATTATTACACTTTAATTCATTTTGTTTTTGTTGTTGTGTCTCATCCAGTTAATTCGATTCACAGAGACCCCAAAGAACAGAGGATAGCCTCCCAATAGGGTTTTCTAGGCTGTGATCTTTACAAGAGCAGATCTGCAGTTCTGTTCTCCTGCAGAGCAGCTGATGGGTTCACTGCTGACCTTTTGGCTAGCTGCAGGAGTGTTTATTATTGCATCAGTAGGGCCCCTTTCATCCAGTTTGCAAATATTTAATCACATCTTTGTGTCAAATGACCCAACAGAGCATCTCAACATAACATAACATTAGATAAAAATGTCAGTGAATTATTTGAGTGATTACTGGGTTCTCTTTGTCTGACACATCCATTCCTACCCAAAACACAAAATCAAAACCAAATCCACTGTCACTGAATTGATTCCAACTCCTAAGGACCTGCCAGGAGAGAGTAGAATTGCTCCTTAGAGTTTTCAAAGCTGTAAATCTTCATGGGTGCAGATAGCCTCATCTTTCTCCTGCAGTGAGGTTGGTGGGTTTGAACCACTGACCTTATGGTTAGCAGCAGTTCAATGTTTAACCCACAGTACCACCAGGGCGCCTCAAGCAAGCAGGGAACCATAAAAATGAGAGTTTTAGACAAAAACAAGCGAGCCACTATCTAGGAAAATGTTGGTTGTCAAAGATTTAAGACAAGACAAAACAGGAAAACAGAAAAGCAGTAATATAGTCTGAGAAGCTGTGGGTCTATTATAATACTGTTGTTGGTGTTGCTAGGTATCATCAAGTCAGTTCCAACTCATAGTGACCCTATATATTACAAATTGAAACATTGTCCAGTTCTGTGACATCTTTAAAATTGTTTGAGCCCATTGTGGCTGCCACTTTGTCATTTCATCTCATTAAGGATTTTCCTCTTTTTTACTGATCCCGCACTTTACCAAGCATGTTGTCCTTCTCCAGGGAATGGTCCCTCCTGACAACATGTGCAAAGTACAAAAGACAAAGTCTCTCCAGCATCACTTCCAAGGAGTGATTCAGCTGCACTTCATGTTCATTCTTCTGAAAGTGTGTTCAGGATACTAATATTCCTCATCAGCACCATAATTCAGATGCATCTACTCTTCTATGATCTTTTTTCATTTTCCAAATTTTGCATGCATACCATGACTTGGGTCAGACACACCTTAGTCCTCAAAGTGACATTAATGATCTTGAAAACTTTAAAGACATCTTTTGCAGCACATTTACCCAATGCAAGCCATCAAATGAATTCTTGACTGCTGCTTCCATGTACATTAATTGTAGATCCAAGTAAAATGGAACTTTAACAACCTCACTTTTTTATTCCATTTATCATAATGATATTTATTGGTCCAGAATTATAATATTGTTAGTTGCCATAGAGTCTGTTCCAACTCATAGCGACCCTACTGTGCACAGCAGAATGAAACCCTGCTTGGTCCTACACCACATCACAATTGTTATGTTTGAGCTCATTGTTGCTCTCACTGTATCAGCCCATTTTGTTGGGGGTCTTCCTCTTTTTTGCAAACCCTCTACTTTTCCAAGCATGATGTCCTTCTTTAGGAACTGGTTCCTCCTGATAATATGTTCAAAGTACAGAAGACAAAGTCTGGCCATCCTGGCTTCTAAGGAGCATTCTGGCTGTACTTCTTCTAACACAAATATGCCTATTCTTCTGGCACTCCATGATACTGTCAGTATTTTTCATTCAAATGCATTGATTCTTCTATAATCTTTCTGATTCATTGTCCAACTTTCAAACCCTCCACGTGAGGCAATTGAAAATACCAGGACTTGAGTCAGGTGCACCTTATTTCTCAAATATCTTTGCTTTTGAACACTGAAGAGGTCTTGTGTTGCAAATTTGCATAATGCAAATACATTGATTTCTTGACTGCTGCTTCCATGAGCATTGATTGTGGATCCAAAAAATTGAAGTCTTTGACACCTTCAGTTTTTCCTCCATTTATCATGATATTTTTATTGTTCCAGTTGTGAAGATCTTTGTTTTCTTTACATTGAGGTACAATCCATACTGAAGGCTGTAGTCTTTGTTCTTCATTAGTAAGCATTTCAAATCCTCTTCACTTTGAGCAACCAAGCTTATGTCATCTTATGTTATCAATGGTTCTTCCTCCAATCCTGGTGCCATGCTCTTTTTCATGTTTTCCAGCTTCTTAGCTTATTTAATTCTCAGATTGAATAATTACAGTAAAAGGGTACAACCCTGACACATACCTTTCCTGATTTTAAACCATTCAGTGTCCCCTGGTTCTGTTCGAATGACTGCCTCTTGGTTTATGTACAGGTTCCTCATGAGCACTATTAAGTGTTCTGGATTACCCGTTCTTTGTAATGTTATCCATAGTTATGTTTCACACAGTTGAATGCCTTCAATAAAGCCACAAGTAAACTTCTTTCTGATATTCTCTGATTTCATCCAAGATCCATCTGATGTCAGCAATAATAACCCTAGTTCCAGAATTTAGCTTACATTTCTGGCAGCTCCCTGCTGATATACTGCTGCAGTAATTGGTAAATTATCTTCAGCAAAGATATTAATGATATTGTTCAGAGCTTTCCACATTCCAGAATTATGAGAGGCATGCTTAAACAATACTAAACCTTTTGCCATCGAATTGAGCCAAAAAAACCAATCCTATTGCTGTCAGGTTGATTCTGACTCATAGATACCTTATAGAACAGAGTAGATCTGCCTCATAGGGTTTCCAAGGATGTAATCTTTACAGAAGCAAATTGCCTTGTCTTTGTCTCACAAAACAGTAGGTGGATTTGAACTGCCAACTTTTTGTTAAGCAGCCAAGTGCTTAACCTCTGCACCACCAGGGCTCTTGAGCCATTCGTCGTCGTTGTTGTTAAGTGCCATCGAGTAGGTTCCAACCCATAGAGACCCTGTATAGGGCTTCCAAGGAGCAACTGGTGAGTTTGAACCGCTGACCTTCCCCTTAAATCTGATTTTGCAGTACAACACATTAACCCACAGTGCCACACCAGGACACTTTAGGCATTCTTGTTGTTGTTATGTGCCATGGAGTTGGTTCCGACTCATAGCGACCCTGTATAGGGTTTCCAAGGCTGTAAATCTTTACGAGAGCAGAAAGCCTCATCTTTCTCCCGCGGAACACCTGGTAGTTTCAAACTGCTGACCTTAAGGTTTCTAGCCAGATTCGTAACCACTACGCTACCAGAGCTCCTTAGGCATTCTTAGCACCCTGAAATGATAAAATTAGGAAATTGTCTCTTCCATAAGATTATTTATGTTTATATTACAGATTATTCCTAGGATTTAGCACAATACTTGGTATGAAGTAGATGTTCAGTAAGTAGTGACGTTTTTGAAGTTGTTTGAAGTCATTCAACTTCAGACATGCCTATTGTCAATCCTACTCCACCTTCAGAAACCTAATAGGCAAGAAACTAAACTGATCTTCTCCACAATACACGTCACCCTGTCTAAAATTTCCAACCAGTAACATCAACTCTCCATTAATCTACTTTAGGGTTATCCCTTGAATTTTTGGGTGATATTTCTTGATATTGTCTCTCTCATTACCCCTGTTACCTATAATTAATTAAGGTGAGACAGTTTTTGCTTAGCAGCATCTTTGAGACCTGTAATCAAAGTCAAGATTGCCTATCTGTAGTGGTTACAAATCGGGCTGCAAACCACAAGGTCAGCAGTTCGAAACTA